TAGGCTTGTTTGATTTGCTGTTTGCCCAATTATCTTATTGCTTTAATTTGTAATTAAATTAGTTTATTTGCGTAATTTTAGTTCAATTAGAATTAAGATTTTAATTGTTTGAATAAAACTAAATTGTTCTAATTTTAGTACTTAGTAAAATTTTAGATCAATTCCCTGTGAGATCGATACTCTACTTGTTAATATACTATGTATTCGATATGTATACTTGCGTAGTAGAATTTTAACTGACAGTTTGTTGACTAAGTGCTCACAACCAAAAATTGAGAGTAAAAGACAAAAAAGACTTAGTCGACTAAGTAGTATGTTAGTTAACTAAGAGCACACTGTTTGAAAATTTGAATTAGAATGCTAGAAGACAGACCAATGGCTAGAACTATCTTTCAAGTATTTCCAACGGTCAACAACTATCAAACATCCATCAGAGTAGGTTTTTCAAGTATATAAGGCACTCTCAACGGCTAAGAAATAGATAGGTTTTTCAAGTATATAAGGCACTCTCAATGGCTAAGAAATAGAAGAGATGCTTCCAAGATAAAAAAGAGTTTAAAAATAGCAAAAAACTCTCTCCATACTTCTTACACTTCACTTCAATCCTTATAATAGAGTTAAGCATTTCATTTTCTACCATTCAGATCAGGTTCATGTTCATAGGTTCTTCTTTATTTCTGTTCTACCTGATTACTTAGAGTGTGCGAGTCACTCTAAGGGGATTGATCAAGCTTGGGTTAGCTTGATTGAGTGTATAGGTTCTAACTCAGCTTAGGAAAAGTTAGTTTTGGGTTTTGGTCAATACCGAGAAAAACTATTGTTAAAGTTTATGGCTAAGCCTATGAAAAGCCATTGTAAAAGTTTGGTGGAAGCTTGAGAATTTCACTGTTTATAGTTATTTAATTTGAAAAATCCTTGGTTGGAAGATCCAGGTAGTGGATGTAGGTTTTTGACTGAACCACTATAAATCTTTGTGTATTGTTTACCCTGTTTTATTTTTCATTTCATTCTTTGTTAAATCATTCCTTCATTTTGCATTTAACT